TCACCCATTTGTGGTTTGAGGGGGCCCAGTCTAGCTCCGGCCCCCCCCTTTTCACTGATTGTGTGTGTGGTGTGTTTTTGTGTGTGTGTGGGGTCCTTGGGGGATTTTAAGAGAAGTTTCAGAGGTTTTTGGTTTAAAATTTTGGTTTGGGGATGGGAAAAGAAGAAAATTAAAAGGGGAATACAGGAAAGAGTAAGGTTATTTAGGATTTAAAAAAATTTGGTGATGAAAAAATTGGATACGATTGGAGGAAAGTAGGAGGGGGTGAATGATTCAGGTATTTTGGAGTGGGCATGTCGTGGATGGGTCTTGGGAAAGGGTGAGGTGAATCATAGAAATTTATGAGGGGAAAAGGGGGGAGTGGGTGCCTTGGGGTTGTGGGGACAAAGAACTTTGGGCCCCTTTGGGGGCAAAGAGGGGAATGTTGAGGTATAGTTTTACCCAAACCCCTTAAAAGGGTGTGAAGCCCTTTGGGGGATGAATGTTGCAGCGAGGGGAAGGCTGGAGGGGAGTGGAGATGGGCATTCTTTAGGGCAATGTGTGGTGTTTAATATAAAAGCAGAGAATTCCTAGTTTTGGGAAATTGGGGGGAGGGCGGGATTACCAAAAAAAGTTCCCCCGGGGGGCTGAGGAAAGGTTTTTGAGGGGGTTTCGGGGCATGTAGAGAAATGGAGCGAAAAAGAGTGACTTCAAGAATGGGATCAGTCTGTAGTTTGGGAAAGGGAAAGGGGGTAGGGGGCGGGAAGGGGAAATTGGGGGGAGGGGGAAAGGAGGTTTTGTGTGCGAGGGGGTTGGACTTCCCGCAGGCATGGGGTGGGCATGTTTTATAGGATGGAAAGGGACAAATGGTTTTTAATTTCTTTTAGTGCCCGTTGGAGTTTGAGCAAAGTAACATTTATTAAGGGGTTCGGGGAAACCCGGGAGGCCGGGCTTGAGTCCCGGAGATGGGAAGACAGTACCCGCATTTGAAGGAGGGTGTTAAGGGTTTCAGTTTAAAAATGGGAGTGTAAAAACACCCCTTCTGGCAAGACAGTGATGGAGTGAAAGAGGGGGAAAGTTTTTTTTTTTTTACGGTGGTTTAGCGTGTTAGATAGGAGTAAAGGAGACGAATGGTATTGGGGCCTTATGATCTTTTTGGAGTGTGAGCAGGGTAAAATTTTGTGAAGGGGATTCAGGGGAAAACCCGGGTTTTTTTTCATATAGTCGGGCTTGAGTCCTGGAAATGGGGAAATACAATGCCTGCCTTTAAAGGGGGGGTTTGGGAATTGGCCCGTTTGGGGGGATATTTTTGTGTATCTTTTTATGTGTATGCTTTTTAAAATGTTGTAATTTTTGAGGCAACCCCCTGCAAAAAAAAGTGATAATGTGCGAAATGTGGGGGAAAGGGGTTGAATGATGAAAGAAAGTATTTTCCCTTTTTTGGGGGGTTTTTTTTCTTTTTTGGGTCACCCTGCCTCGGTGGGAGCGGCCGACTTGTTTTAAAAAAAATATAGATATATATATTTAAAATTTTATATATTTTATATAAAAAAATATAAAATTTTATAAATATAAAAATATTATTTTTTTTTTTTTTTTTTTTTTTTTTTTTCAAAAAGTCGGCCGTCTCCCACCGAGGCAGGGGTGCCCCAAAAAAGAAAGAAAATCCCCAAAAAGAAAATACTTTCATCATCATTCAACACCTTCACCACACTCGCACACTATCACTGTTTTTGCAGAGGTGCTCAGAATACAACAGTCCAGAAGCATACCCCATATAAAGATACACAAATACCCCTCCAACTGCTAATATCCCAAACCCCTCCTTTAAAGTGCAGGCATTGTACTTCCCATTTCCAGGATCAGTCCGATATATGAAAATACGTTCCCTGAATCCTTCAACAATATTACCATGCCACACTCCAAGTCGTCAGGCCCCAAAGTACCATTCGTCTCCATTCATCTATCTAACCGCTCACGTACGCTTGCTGGAAGTCCAAGCCCCTTACCACCAAAACCTCCTTTACCCCCTCTCCCCAAACCCCTTTCGAGGACGACCCCTACCCCGCCTTCCTTCCCTATGATTTATATGCTTTCCATGTCATTCTACTTTGATCCATTCTCCTAAAGCCCAAAACCACCTCAAAAACCCCCTCTTCTGCCCTCTGACTAATATTTTATTAACTCCACACCTTCCCCTAATTTTCCCACACTCCAATTTTCTGCATAATATTTAAAACCACACATTGCCCTTAAACAGACATCTCCACGCCTCCCAACCGTTTCCTCGCTGCTGCATTTACCCCCCAAGCTTCACACCCTTAAATGTTGGTACACTATACTTCATACATTCCCTTCTTTGCCCTCCATGATATAACGTTTTTTGACTTCCACATATACCTCAACGCACCACTCACCTTTTTCCTCATCAATTCTATGATTAACCTCATCCTTCATAAATCCATCCGCCGACACGTCAACTCCCAAGTTTTCTGAAAACTTTCACTTCTTCCATACTCCTCCTCCCCAATTGATATCCAATTTTTCTTTATCTAAATCATTTGACCCCCCTCATCACCTTACTCTTTTCTATGTTCACTTCAAATTTCTACCTTTACACACATTCCCAAAATCATCCACTAACCTTTGCAATTTTTCTTTAGAATTCCCATAAGCACAGTATCATCAGCAAAAAGTAACTGTGTCAATTCCCATTTTGAATTTGATTCCCCATAATTTAATCCCACCCCTCTCCCAAACACCCTAGCATTTATATATATATATATATATATATATATATTATATATATATATATTTTATATATATATTATATATTGTGTGGTGTGTGTGTGTGTGTGTGTGTGTGTGTGTGTGTGTGGTGTGTGTGTGTGTATAACTGTACAAATATTAAATACAACTGCTTAAAAATATTTTCCACGTAAGTTTCAAAAAGGTACTTTTTTGGGCGTGTATGTTAATCAGGGAGTAATTTCTCTCAAGAAGCTTATACCGGTGACAAAATTAAAGTGGCATTTTTCTGCCATTTTGAACCTGTACAGAAAATATACAAACATTTTTATAATCTACCATGTTGCTATAGAATGTAGAATTGTGTTAGGATTTAGCACAATACACTATGTGATCATTTATTGATTAGTATTTTCTTTTCCTTAAAAATAACAAGTGAAAAAAATAAGCCAGGTATTAAGCTTTTAATCCACAATGCTGTAAGTTTCTCAGAATGAGAAGAATGGTTAATGAACATACAGACTGCTACTTAGATCCTGTAATCTCTGAGCTTTTCTTCTCTGCATGCCAAAGATATGTGTATCACAACAATGCCATAAGGTAGCATAATGTGGGGCAGGGAAGGGGGAAAGGAAAAAATAAAAAAACATACAAGCTGTTGGTCTTCGTCAAGGAGCTGTTACCCCTGAAGGGAGGTGCCTTAATGCCAGTGAAGGACTCTTGATCCAAGAAACTGAGCTTATCCTCCCCTTCCTTGGAGTAAACTTGAATGCCTCCCATTCTCTAGCACTACATGACCTTTCTGGGTTCAGAGATTCCCTATGATTAATATATAAAAATGTCTCCTGAAGTGGGTTTAATCAACTGACCAGCTCGATGGCTCCTTGCAGGAGCTGTAAAGGTTTATAGTTCTGTTGGCCCTGTGGAATGGGATTGGATAGTGGTGTGTGATCAGTGGTTATGGTGGCCCCCTAAGGCACAATTGCAGCAAGAAGCAACAGACAGTAATTACAGACTGAGATATGTTGCTAATGACAGGACAACTGTAGACACACATCAGTCATTGTTATTATTATTTTATAATTAATGGAAAGAGCTAAACCTGTAAGGGTCATACAGTGCCTGGGAAAAGATAGGTAATTACATATGATCTGAGGAAGGTTACAATAACTACAGTATCTTTGATCACTAAAGCAGCACTAAAGCACTTTCCCTTGCAAAGATAAACATATGGCACTAGAAATGTGCTTACGATACTCATTAGAATAAAACTACTGCCCACTGTAAGCTCAGCATTTTCAATGTGTGTTTTAAAAATAATTGATTCCATATGCTGACATTAATTAAAAGAAACTATAATATATATAAATAAAATTCAAATGTGAACAGAATGAAAAGTTATTAGCAAAAACAGACACACCTAAAATATTACGCTGTTAATTTCTTACCTCTCCATCATGGTTCTGATGTACTCTACCCTCCTCTCAGACAGTCCCACTTCTAGTGCAGATCTGTGATCTCTAACTGAAGTTTATTTACTAAATTGACTGAGTCCCTCCTTTTGCCATTGTGTTTACATTATTATATTTCCATGAATATAATAACAATCCTTGTGAGAGAGAACATGGTACTGTATACACTGCCTTTCTATATTACCCTGGCACCCTAATCCCTCTACAAAACTTGCCAGGTCAAGCTAACAGTCCAACATGTTTTGATAAATTACTATATGCCATTTAACAAAGAGCATGCTGACTTTTTTCACTTTCAATGCCCTGACATACCTACCGTCTGTCCTCATCTCACAGTTCTACCTTTGATGCAGATTCTATGTTTTATCAGCAGGTGATTTACAGCCTTGAGTCTCAGTTCCTCATTCTGTCCTTGTACTCACATTTGGTGACACACTTGTGCTTTTTCACTCTTGTGCCAGGTCCTCTTCCTTTTATGATGTGCTGAATGACACCAATGAGTTTAGTGCTTTCCATGACTATAGTAATAATCCACTCTCAACAGGTTATGCATGCTACATTTCTAGAATAAAATATCACAATACCTATATACTTTGTCCCAAAAATGTACTGTACCAAAATCAGCATTTTTTTATATACAGTGTATTACACCAAATATTTTAATGATTTTATATCAACAATTTATCATGTTGATAAATAATATGCCAGCATTTTAGGTTTATACGTTCACATAACTTCAGTCAAATGTTGTATCAATAATCAGAAACAACTGATAGTACACCAAGGAATGAAAAATTCATAAGATGTACAAATATTTATTTTTACTACATAACAAGTATTCTCTCATAGAGCTTACCAGTAGTCTTTGCCCAAAATAACACTGATACTGACCTCTATTTCAAAAAATACTAAAATCCTTGAATCCATAGGTAGTGTCCCTCTTCTTCTTCTGCTGACTTGCTCCTACCTGGGCCTCCTCTTTCCTAAAGAAAAAAAAACACTAATGACACACTTGCTAAAACAATTGTTAATATTACTAATACCAGTGGTTAACTAAAAAAAACAAATTAAAGAAATACTAAAGAAATTTTATGAAAAAACTTTAAAAATGTAAAAAAAATTCAAATACGGCAAATATTTTTCTCTACATACTCTATGTTCATCAACACAAGTGACTATTATATTACTTTAAAGAATAAGAATGGATACAAAATATTATGCAACACAGCCTCATGTAAATAATAAATCTTTAATTTATACTAATGCAGAATTCTTCAAGTCATTTATTGCAACTTGCAAAATTTGACTGTCAGAAAGGTAGTGGAGGTAAACTAAATTATTATCAGAAATTAAGAAAATAAACAAAATTCTTTCCTGTAAATGTTAATGCTCAAAGTTCAGTTCTTCAAGTTATTACTGACAATGGTTTCCAACTACAGTAGAAATATACAGATATCTCTTAACTGTGTTTTATATTTCTGTCCAAGTGGTTTCCTCACTTTGTTTTAAAGCTCAACTTTTATCAGGACAATCTTCTTATCCACACAATGTACCCAAGAACTAACTGATAACAATTATATAGGGAAAAACCAATTCTTAACCTTTAAACTGTCCAAACGTAGATCTACGTTTTCACGTGTAGTGCTCCAACCTTGATTTTCTCCATAAGAAAGCATGTTAAAAAAGTGTAGATCGACGTTTGGAGCACTAGGCGAGTGAACTTAGATCTAAGTTTGGACAGTTTAAGGGTTAAACACACAAAATGCATTCATATAATTTCTCACATTCTGAAGATAGTACTTACGACACGGATGCGACAGATAGATCTAAGAATTTTCCTACTCCAGAGCGAAAAACTTTTAGATGATCATCTTTAGGCTTTGAACGTTTTCGATTTTTCAGCTCATCATCTTCAACTTTTCGTTTTTCAAGTTCCAGTCTTCTTTCTTCTGCAAGCTATGGGACAAACTCAAAATTAACTCTTATACTATATATTACTTAAAAATTTTAACTACAGAATGTGAAGAGTATAACTTTTATAGTTCAATGCCTGACTTTCATTTACAAAGTTTACTATCATGAAGAAACACAATATATAATAAATAATTATTGCTTATTTATTATTTTGAAAGTGGTAGGTATTACCTTAAGCAACATCACTACTTTGGATCAAGAGCCTCTTAACCTCAAAAGCCCCCCTTTGAAGGAAATAAATTATAAAACCCAGTAAAACTGAATCATCTATTCTAAGTGGCATGTCTGACTTGGTGCCCCTTATGACATTTATCTTCTTTTAGTCATGAACAAGATATTTGGTGCACTTTTATCAAAGCTATAAGGATATAACCACAGGATACCATCACTGTCTACTTAAACTGTAGCATTATCCTCAAGCCTGCTGCATTGTTAAGATGAAACACATAAATATGTTAAACATAAGGTGCCCAACTCCATAAATTCAGGCCTCTCAGGGTTAGCAGTTATGCATATTACGTAGATTTCTGAATGACCTATAGAGCATACTTTGATAAAATTTACTGTATAGGTATAGAAAATATTACAAATTTAACTAGATCACAATCTGATGAAACTGACAGTAGACATATAAAACATACTACAAATTAAAAATAGTAGAACATTTACCATACCCCAAAATACAGTACAGTACTATAGTTCTCCTCTTCCATATACACCTACCATCCGACATACGACCTGCTCGACATACGTCCACTCGACTTACGGCTGTGCATCTGGCAGCTGGGCTGGGCCGGCTGATGCACATCGCTGTACAATATTTGACAATACTCGCGGCGGCAATGCGTCATGCAGGCAACATCAGTTTGAGTAACCCTGCCCTATCAGCAGCATCATACTGTATTAACTGTACTAACCATGGCCCCTAAGATGAAGTCTGAATCTTGCACTGGAGATTGTGGCAAGAAAGGCTCTTACTCTCGAACTCTCCATTTGTTTTCACTGTTGCACATAAACCTGTCTGTATCTGTCTGCCTGTATATCTGTGTCTGTCTGTGTGGAGAAATTTTCTCCAGGAGGGGGGTATCAGCCCCCTTCAGCCCCTTCAGCCCCTTTCAGCCCTGAGGGGCCCAGACCTCTCAGAAGGGGCAAGCGTCTTGTTTACTGCTACAGTGAGTAATTGATCACAGATGCCGTACGAGTATGCGACCTGTGGTCAACCGACCATTGCTCCTTGCAGTCCAGTGCTGCAGAGTGTATTTTAATAAGAGACAGTACATCTCTTACTTTAGCAGGACAATTAAGAAAAATCCTGCTCCCACTTCGTTACCATAGTAAAGATAGTGGACATTGTTGTCTATGCATAAGACAGCAAGAATCAAACATTCTGCTTTGCTTCATCGAGGAAGTGGCAAGGAAGCAAAAGTACTAGGTCAGCTTTTTTTTTGTGCTGGGGGCAGTGACGGCATGAGGCGCTGTGGCGTCTTCAGATTACTTTTGACTCTACTGAGAGTGACACTGACGCCAGGATAACCAGCAAAGAACACTGATCTGTGCGTTAGTGTGAACAAAGTGTCTCATAAAACACAATAAACACTTAAGAGAAGTGTGATCAGCTTCTTCAGTGATAACATTGTGAACAATAGACAAAAATCGTGTGGAACATAGTGTACCAGTGTGCGTTTCCTAGACAATGGAAGACGTGGACATCCAAGGACACTTCAGCTTCTATCAAGTCACCGATATCTGTCGAAGGTGTGAAGAACACCATAGCTCACGTTACAAGAGCAAGGTAGGTTACGAATTTCTTGTAGTACGGGGGACTGCGCAGTTCTTGAGTCGCAAGGATTTTGTAATCAACCTATAGTCGGCAGTAAGGTGTGGACTTTTGAGTCCAAACAAGTACGTAAATTATCAGCCATCAGTGAATGAAATATACTGACATAACACCCCCTAGGGGTAATTTATAATCTTACAAATTATATTTCTTGACAGCCCGTGTGAGATGGAATCGACAGCTGGCTAGACATCGTCTGCAGGGTGGCGGCTTGTGCATGCGATAGTTGTCTTAATTTTTCACTGTTTAAACTTAGCTTGTTAATGCCATTTCTCAACAGTCCTGTGTCCTCTGTGTTTCTGGAGAGACGAGCGCTGTCCGTCACCTGTGTGTGTGTCTTTCTGTCTACCTTTGTGTCCTGTCCTGGTCAAACCTGTGAGTCTTCCTTTCTACCTTGTGTCTATCTGTCTTTCCCTGTCTACTTGTGTGTCTGACTTATGTCTACCTGTGTGGTGTGTCAGTCTAAACCTGTTTTCCTGCTGTTTTTTTATTTCTTGCTTATCTGTCCTCAGAGCCACTCCATTAAGGAGTGTAAATTTGTCTTGAAGATGGCCATATAAACCCCTTCAGGTCCAAGTGACCAAAAATCTGAAGTGGTGCTCCAGTGGTCCAGAAATTTTGAAAAAAAAAAAAACAAAAATAAAAGTTTTCTTACAGAATTAAAGAGAGCATATTTTTGTGAAGGTAAAAAACAAAAAAAAATATTCTGACCATAACTTACCGAGATACAGTGCCGGAGACGAGTTGTCCAAAATGACCTTTCGCACACCATCGACAATTTCCTCATACGCGCATTAACTATAATATAGCAGTTTTTGTAGTTTTTTCTATCTCTTTTCCATATATCCTTTCTTTTCCTACTAACATTGGGTGGCCTGATAGACCAATACTTAATATAAAGAATATTCATATAAAGCTCCCTTGTATCTATCTCTCTCTCTCTCTTTAACCGCACTATAAGTTATCATCAAATAATATGCTTTTACCAGCGTTGCTTTATTACAATAAACATGCAACAAATCTATGTATAAAATACCTTCAAAAAGATCTATCAATATTTTACATAACTTTTACACATCACTGGCCATGGTTTTTTAGAACATGTCTGGAGCTTGTGAAACTCCTTGAAACAACGGCACCATGCACAAGGCGCGCCTTACATTCCTCACACATAAACCATTGTCTTTGCCATCTTGTTCATCTCTATCTCCGATGTTTGTTTGTGCACAGAGTATGCATCTCTTCTGAGCAAATTTCTTTGATTTGGAAGGAAGCTGTATTATAAAATGATCACCTTCCCTCCTCCAAACGCTTGGTTAATATCCTGAAAGTTCGAGGACCTTGTTATATAGCAGGTGTTTTCTTACCTGTACTTCATTATTGAAGCTGTCCCTAACAACAGACAAACAAAATTCACCATACGGTGGGTCCTGTTCGCCATGTCTTCATTGGTACATACATCATTGACATTGAAATGTCCTGAGATGGAAGAAAAGTTATCATGTACCACTTGTATAACCTTTTTACCGAACACAATCAACAAGCCCAATCTTGCATGTCACATTTGTCAACACAACGCGCATGATGTGTGTATAATCAATCACACACACTGGTTTTTTGAATACATTCTTAGTCAACTCGCTCAACTTTGCACGTCTTGCATTTCAATACGGAGGGAATGGTTGTCAAACAATGTGACATCATCGTTTATTCAAGCCACCGTAATGCCATGGTGTCAATTGCAGTAAACACCATGCACATCATCACCACGAGCACCTTCGTTGAGCCTGGCATAATGTTTACGATTTAGACCGCACTGTGCCACACACAACGTCTGTCATGTTCACATCACAAGAAATCACTGAGTTATATGCTAGTGTACCAGATATCCGGTATATAAAAGTAACTGCCCCTTATACCAAGAATAAGGTGCCATCATGCAACTCATCACGTCCGCCTGAGATAACCCAAAAACATCTTGGGTATCTTCAATGCGTATTACTTCCCGTGTAAACAACAATATCCAATACCAGGGCCGGACGAGGGGTCAACAGTCCACAGATTACAAACAGTTATTATTAAAACCAAAGCGATTTCCTCTTGCTCGGTATATCCTTCTGAAGACAGCCTACCTTAACCATAATCAAAGACTCTCAATACAAGATTTCTTGAATGTATAAAAGTACATAGCATAACATTGTTTGAGATATATAAAAACATTTTCTAAAACATTTATAACCTGTCCACTTTTCCATCCCGCCTGGTTTTGTCAGAGAATAGCACCATACTAACAGAAAGATACACCTGTATCACTGGGAATGATTTCACTGAAGAACCGGGGTAGAAAATAGCCCGGGATCTGTAGGACCCGTAAAAGCTTTTTAAATCGAGCTTATTAACATGAGGCATACGCATATAGTTTGCAAACAAGTGTGAAAAGCAAATGACAAATTACTGCAACAAGTCATCTCTTTCCACCAGTGTAGTCTTGAACTGTTTGAGCGTATGAAAATCGTATTTGCCATGGTGTAACTCAAACGCGTACTTATTTACATATCCCGACATTAGTTGAGCGCAGTCATGGCTGTCAAAGGCCGAGCGCGAGAGCGCGCGCGCGGAGTTCCAGCCATTTGCAGAGAGAGAGAGAGCAAGGGGGACCCAATTTGAAGAATACCACTACATCGTCAACAAGCGCGTGAGTGTGTGTGGCATGGAACACACGGAAGTTATTTTTCCTGCCAATCGCGCAGATAAACGGTTTGGCTGGTTATTACTGACATCAGATGCATGGGAAATTTCGGGGTAGTTGGTGGTATTGGAGAGATTTTTATTTTAATTTATTAAATATTATATAATTGTAGAAGTGAGGGTGGGCCGAGTGAGAGTGCTGACGCCGGGGGCGAGGTTCACTTGCCCGCTTTGCCCCTTGAACAATGATTCCATCACACGTTGGGTCCCAGCCAGGGCGGCTAGGAGATCACGGCATTGGGAGGGGGTGCCCCTTGGCACCTACCATCAACCACTACCACCATCATACTGAATTTCCAGTGGTCAATCCATGCCGAAGTGTAGCCACATTCATCCTCACTATCACTATCTATACCCTGGTGTAGGGCCACTGGGAATGTACTCCGGGCTGTACTTC